CCATTTTTGAAATTTCCGAGCGCTCGCGAACACTTCCGACTTCTTCCGACCAGAGCCGAGGACGAGTCACGTGGTTAACCACGAACGCGCTGAATCAGTCGAACTGCAGGTCATCCTGAGTTTCCGCTACATATTGATACATTTCGCGTAATGTCATAAAATTCGTTTCCGTTGGTATGAGAAACTGTATGAATGTGGCTACCACATGCGATATAATAAGTGTTATGATAACATTCAAGTATATACAAAAAGAGGAATTGAATACAAGGTTCTGACCATTCAAAAATCGTCAAATTTGAAGTCAATCGGTTTCGAACTCTTGCGTTCGATCCATGGAACCAAGGCAGCGCGTTCCATTTTTCGCGGAAGTTCCCGAAAATTGTCGACGGGAAACGGTTACTTGGTGGATTTTTGGGCCGATTAAATGGAGGCCCTGATAAATCAAGCAACTTGTCTCTGGGCTAGTTTCTGTGCTGCTTCAAACGCCAAACGTATGAAATAATGATGCAAATGTGCTGATACTTGGTGGTATGTGTCAATACCATACAGATTGTCTTGTTCTAAATATTTCCTATTTTAATGCCCTGATATCGCTTAGGGCACCTTTAACACGTTGCAGTAAAGTTAGTCTACGGGTATTTGTTGGAAGGCTTTGCTGTAAGAGGAGAGCATCCATTTGAAGGGAGTGTGAGGTTGTGCCCATTTGGACCAAGCATCTACCTAATTCTGCTCTACATACAGGCGACATTGCTACTATTTCTAAATAGATAAAATAAGAATTCTAGGAATTGTACAGGCATTTTTGTCCACAGGCAAGCGGAATGTCCACAGGCATGCGGAATGTCCACAGGCATTTCTCTGATCCACATCTATGCCCGCATTCCTGGAACCCTGAAGACCTGCCTGCCCCAGATGGTCATACTTTCTGTGACCCCGGGGCTCGTTCACTATGCACTCAGGGGAGGAGTGTACTGTATCTGTCTAGAAAAAAATCATGAAATGATGGCAGTGCCATGCAAACAATAACCCTAACAGCAACCACCGTCGCCATGGCAATGTATGTTTTCATTGCCAGTCTTGTTATAGATCCCTGCAAGGGACATGAATTTTTCAAGCTGATCAACCTTTTCTAGGCTGAATGTTATTGTTAAGCTGAATGTAAAATGATTTGTACAGCATTATTGACCTGTGATATGTCCACCTACCTGTCTATTCTCCTGTCTGGATGGGAACAGGTAGTTGAGCAGGGGAATCTTTGAGGAGTGCCGACGCCACACTCTTAACACATAGTCCTCCCAATGGATCATCTTAGCTGTAACAACAAGAGTTCAACTTTCAGGCAACAACAATAAGCCATCTCACAGTCCCACATGTGTATGTGCAGTTGTGATGCACGTACGTAAGGTAACATTTGCAAAGCAAATTCATGATGTTTACTTTCGCATATGGTCTGCTCTGTTAATTCTTACTCAAACACATTCATATGTATGGTCAGACAGGAGTCTAAATCCCTCATGCTATAGAATTGCGACATGATGTAACCCAACACTAAGTTACCATGGTAACAGACAGTCTGGTTCTGGTCATTGACCTTTAAGGTTTGGAGAAGAAGAGGAAACTGAGCAAAAACAATACGTTTTCCTTTGGTTAACATAATTAAAATGACCTTTAGCCAACTAACCTAAAATGAGCATGATGGGTATTGTTGGTAAGGTGACCAGTAGAAAAATGGGGTCCACACTCTCGATGATGTCCAGCCCCTCCTTGTGCCCCAGCACCTGCATGACAGTGAAGGCTCCGTACGACACGGCCGACCAGTAGATGGACCCGACGACGATGCCTGCAGCAGCGTACGGTACGACCTTGTACACGATACGGTCAGCTACATCGATGAGGTACATCAGAGGCCCTGCATTGAAGACAAGGAAGCGAACAAAACTGGTGAGAACAGCCACAAGACGAAACAGCATGCTAAGATGTACTGGGGCTATATTGTTCTGAGAAAACCATGACTTAAAAACCTGCCAACAAAGCACAAAATTGTCGCAGCTACAATCCTACAAAACAGAAATAGAACCAACATTGAGGTTAGCACATGCCCAAATTATTGTCATGAAAAGTGAGTTAAAAAGCTCTACACAGCGACAGCAAAAAGCTCAAAGACTAATTCAAAACACACAGTTACATGTAATGGATATTACTATGAAAATTTACTTAAAGTGAGTGACAGTACATCAAAATGGCTCACCCAATTTGGGGAATACGATTCTGTACTCGGTGTTACACTGTGGACAAGACACGACGGTGTTGCTGCGTCCCCGCTGTTTCTCGTCGATCCACCTCTGCAGACAGGAGCGATGCACCCACCGCGTGGTGCCCTTACAGCGGCACGGCTGTGTCCATGTGGCCGCCCGGTCATCTTCTTCTGTCGCAAAACACACCCAGCAGGTTTTCCTGGAAGGAATGAGGTTGGAAAAATGTTACGTTTGCTGTTCCCCGACAGACCCTAGAAAAAACTGCCGACTCTAGCCCTTTTTTGTGTGGACCCCGGCAAGGGACATTAATTTTTCGAGCTGATTCTAGCACCGTGATCTGACACCTGAGTGATGAAACGTTGTACAATTGGTTTTCCAACATTGACATTGAAAATAGAAGTGTGATCATGCAAGTTTTACTTTGATAAACCATCTTATAAAAGTTGGATCACTGAAGGAAAAAAAAGATAAGTATTATTAAAAGTAATCCCTTTAACGTTACCTACCGACCCAAATTTTTTTCAAGACTGAAACAGGAAACACACTTTTTTTCCTAGGCCTGATGACAACGCACAACCCACCACTAAGCTACTGCGACATGTACATGTTTTCTGTGATATTGGTTTATTTTGGTTGGTATACCTGTGCTGCCTGCCAAGATGACTTTTTAGTATTGACACCCTGACAAATTAAACTGTAATATATAGCCATTCCTTCTCGGTAAACTCCAGGTATATACTGGGACCCGAATATGAGGGCTTGCACGACGTGAGGTTACTCAACTTACGTCGGTTTGCACGCGTGCCGATACTCATTTCCGCGATTGTTTGCACGCGTGTTGTTCCTCAGGCTGTGCTGAGTTCGCACGCGTGTATGTCCTCGCGCTGCGCTGACCTTGCACGCCCGTGGAATTCCTCACAACAAACCGAGTAAACACGCATCTTGTGGGCGCAAAAGTGGAGGGCAGAACGCCGTAATGCCGGACCGAGCCTGACTAACTACCGTTGCGTGCATTTCCTCGAGGCGTCCCAAATTTACCCGCATGTGTATTTCCTCACTAAGAGCCGGGTAGACACGCATTTTTGGGCGCGTTGTGCTAATATTTCGCCGCACGTACATCATCGTCGGACGATAATTTTCCGACGGTTTGGCAACCCACCGGAACGTATGAAATTATCGGCCGTGCGTACGGAACCTGTCTGAGTGCGGGGCAGTTTCATACGCCGCCAGAAAATTTCGTGCGTGCCTCGGTAAGTTTGGTACGCGGGTCCAAACTGCGGGTGCAAGGTTGCCGCACTACCGGCCCATCGGAACCTGGGCGACCGCCGACAGCGTCGTGCTAATATTTCGCCGCACGTGTATCATGGTCGGACGATAATTTTCCGACGGCGCCGCTTTTACTACCAAAGTTACGGCAGTAGTGTCTTTGAAATTCAGACGATGTCTCACGTAGCACGCCTGACTTATCTATTTTTAGCTATTTTATCTACGATCTGCCTTATGTTCAACTCTTATGTTGTACACACACCCACATCAACAGACGGTCCGCTACACCAGGCTCGCTACACGCTGTCCCCCCGCTAATTCCTAGTGCGTATCCCGCAAGTGATTTCACGGCGGCGGGAACTGTGTAATTCTTCACTCCGCACGATGTACACACACGACGCGGTCCCCCCGCTAATTCCTAGTGCGTACCCCGTGATTTCACGGCGGCGGGAAGTACTGGCAGACATTTTGCCAGAAAAACGTACATTATTAAAGTCACAATGGTCAATGACCGTGTCTAGAGAGTCGAAGTCGGCGGCCGCCGTTGATAATTTTCTGCGACGCTCGAAATTGCAACTGAATTTGGTGAAGCTACGATTTGATCATGAACGCTGACAAAAAATAACGAGGTTTAATATTGATACTATTTGGTCCTGAATGGAACAGAATTATAGATTATTTAATGCGTTTGGCTTTAATATTGGTACTGTTTGTTCCTGAATAAAGACAGATTTATGTGATACTAGTAGTTTGCTTTGGGCAAGGAGGTTCTAGGGGAAATGCTTTGGGAAAGTCTCTTTTTCCTTTCTTGTTTACGAGGAATTCACCATTCCCACGCTGCACGTATTTGATTGACAGACGGTTACCTTTGAAGACGTCGCCGTCGGCGCCCCGGAGTCTGGTCGGCTTCCGGACCGAAGAATTCAATCAACTGAGCAGCCAATGAGCACAGAGAAAAATTTAAAGTCGGTCTTTCTTTCAACCCCCTATGTTCTACCAAGGAGATTGTCGGATATTATTGTCTTCCATGGTCTAAAAGGAGAAGTCAACACCCTTAGACATAGTTTTAGACATAGCTATAGCTTTAGACAACTACCCTTTATCATGTAGATTTTAGTTATTTTATACTCTGTTTCATTGTTCTTTTATGTTTGTAATTTGCAATTAGCCCCCGGGCACGAATTTGCAATAAACTTCTCATTGTTGTCATTATTATTCGTGATAACAAATTGAAGTTGTACGGACTCAAGTTATACACTTTGCTGAGCCGCCGCTTGTATCAAGGAGGTTAAAAAGGACTTCGTTAAAAGTCGTTCGTTATTCCTGTGTTCTAGTTGAAATGATGGCTGTGAACTTCAGTTGTGCTGGCTCGTTCTGTCAACTATGGTTACTGACAACTTTAATTAATCAGAAGAACTCACGTTTGCTTTGCTTGGACTTTTTTGTTGTGAAATGAATTCATTTCGTGTAAGAAAATTTGGATACATGTATTACTAACAGTGACTTGTAACTTTACTAAGGCGATATAACAACTAACGTTACTAACAGGAACTCAGTCGAGCCAACTTACATTAACCAACTTTTTATATAAATTTGTGCAACTAATGGATATCCAAATAAAGTATCAAGTATTCACAATTATGTTAACATCCATTCAAAATACGGACATCATGACAACCGGCGCCCCGTGTGCCTCGCTTGCTGTGATCTGAAGCAAGACTGCTAAGAAACTACGTAACACATACTAATCTGCTTGGTCTTTGCGAACAAATTTTGCTTTCTGTTAATATTTCTTAATAAAGCTTAATTGCCACAAATTTGGCGTTTTCACACAAACACAGCAAAAATCGTCAACAAAGCCGACGCCCTTTACTTTACATAAGCGAATGCTATACTGTTACACCTTTCCCTGTTTGTTTTCTCACTAAATACCGTTCATATGACATCAAATATCCCACATGCCATTACTTAGTATTTGAGAAATAAGACTACATTTCCGCTATAAACTTCACTCCGTGCCTGTGGTAGTTTGGGGAACAATATGGCGGATTTTCTTACCCAAGCTATACCGTAATGCATTGCGTGGGAAGCGTCTTTGGGTTACATTACGCCGCCTGGCAGACAGACCGGCGAGAGCTCAGCGCTATCTCGGTAGCGTCATAGGCCACCAAGCAAACTTTATGCAGACGGCTTAGGTTTTTCCTCTTACAACGTCGGCGCAATAGCTTCTCCACATTCTCCTTGACGTTAGATATCAGAATACTAGTAAACACACCGCACCGTCTCTACGTACTGTTAAAGATTTTGATTATGAACAAGTAACAACTACAAGGGCATTCCGTATCACCCCAGGTGTAGTAGTATATAACCCCGACAACAAATACAGCATTTTCAACAAGGAAATGTGGCAAAGCCGCTTATGATGAATGGTCTTCTCAAGACACGACAAACGCACGCACATGAGACCAATTCACTACGCCGCTGTATGTCATGTCAAGGAAAGGCATCATATGTACATTGCCAGTATGTATATATGTACCTCTGTTTTGTCGTTGTTGTGTCCATTGTATCCGCAGATAGAAGATTTTAACTATTGACGTACTTATACTGTTATGATGATCGCAATGGGATGTAATATGATATCTTTTTAATTGTTAAATGTTATCAATTCTTCTAAGTGTTTTCCAAATTTTAAAATGTAAGATCAACACAATTCAGTTCAATGCAAATGCATGTGTGTACTGCAAGGTTGGTTGAATGAATAAAGTTTAAAGTATGTGTGATCAAGTTATAAAAAATATACGTCTGGTGTAATGCGAACGGTGCAATTATTAAGAACACTTTTATGGGATCCCTTTTATGAAGTTATTATTCTACACAACTTTTTGGAAACCCGTGTGATAACTGTTAGAACTTGATACATCTAAGTTCAAATATCACACGGGCCTTTCCTTTTGAACTTGGGACTCCAGAGGGCGTACATCCACGACGACGCCACCAAGGTCCTTGCCCTGCCGTTCCTGCCCAGTGAACACGTCGTCCCGATGTCCCTGCGACTCCAGAGGAATGCCGCAACTCCAGCACTCCGGGAGTTGATGGACTACGTGGACAGCCAGTGGATCGTCAGCCGCCTCCAGCCACCATCGAGTTGGTCCATCTTCTGACGAACGATCAGGACCAACAACGATACGGAAGGATGGCACCGACGTCTCCTGGGCCGAGCGCAGAAGGCTAACCTCCCTTTCTATC